GTTCTTAAGCAATGCCAAGCCATTTTTTGAAACCTAACTTTTTAAAAGCAAAATGCCCCAGTCAATAACTTCAATATAATCTATGTATTTTCTAAAATGGTTGAAGCAGAAAATAAGTATAATCTTGTTTCCTTGTCACTAGTCACCACTCTTCGAGTCCCCTCCATATTAAGTGAGGGGAGAAAAAGCTGGTATTTACTGAATGCTTATTTTAAGCCAGATGTCCAGAATGCCAACATCCCCTCCCCCGCCCCCACTGAACACTTTCATGGGTGACAAACCCGGTTTAGAGAGGTGAAGTAAAGGCTTACAGGCTTTTGCTGGTAAGTGGACGACCCAGGATTCCCGCCCTATGATTTTGAGTCCACTTTGTGTTTTTTTGTGTTTTTTTCTTTTTTCCATGGACTGTGGACATTCTTTTTTTTTTTTTTTCCAAGCAGCACAAATTTATGATTACATAGTTCTGTGGGTCAGGGTGGCTTCCTGGGACGGTGTGGCTCCCCTGGGTCCTCTGCTTAGTCTCATGACACTGAGACCAAGGCAAAGCTGCGTTCTTTTGGAAATGGACACTTTCAGGCCCGTTCTGGCTGCTAGCTAAATTACATTCCTGGCAGTTGTAGGACTGCAGTCCTGTGTCCTCGCTGGCTGCCAGCCAGGGGCCTGTCTCTGCTAGAGGTCCTTGTTGGAGGGTCCATGAATTCCTTCTCATAGTCCGCCTTTTTTGAGGGTGTGGATCTCATTGCTTATGTTTGCACGTCCAGGACTTGCTAATGGGCAACATGTATTTGTTGAATAAACGAAGGAATGAGTGAACAGACTCCAATCTTCCTGATTCTAAGTTCAACAGTCTTTACTAGATCACTCTGCAGCCATCTTTCTAACATGCAAATCTGACCATCCTACCGACAGATAAAAAACAACAACTCTTTATCTAGAGGGATTGGAGAGTCCCACACACTTGATTACAATGTTTTCCAAACTGCAGCTTGTGACTGATGAGGTCTTTTTTTTTTCAAATGAAATGAAATGGAGTAAATAAAGGAGTGTATACAATCTAGTGAGATCAGGGTTGCTTTGGGAGGTATTTGTGTGGCACCGGCCAACCTGTAAAACGTCTTCACTGGAGGTCGTACGCAGAGCTTTGAAAGCCACTGCTTTCGCATTCTGAGTCCCTCATGGGACACTGACTTCTCTCTGCCTTTGCACATACTGTTTCCGCATCTGGAATGTTCTTCCCTTTTGTCTGCCTGGGGACATCTAGTTATCCTTCAAGTCCTAGTTTCAAGGCAGTAGTCACTCCTCTCACTCACTTAACCCTCACGCCTTCCTCTGTTGGGCTCTCATTCCTGTTGTGTGATTGTTGTTTACTGCTCTGCTCTGATGCTAGAGTTAAAGGCGGGGAATATCCCAGATGTATTTTTACCTTTCTATACCTGTAACAGAGCTGGGTCTACAGAAAGAACTCTGGAATGTTCCCTATTTTACAAACCCCTACCTGCACTTAGTCTTTACTGAACATAAATTTATTACTTAATAGGTCTTATAATTTCCAGTTACTGTCATATCCAGCTTTTGAAAAGCAACCTAATCCCTACACAACTAAAGCTTAAAAATAAAAAGTTGGGCCAGCCGAGTGGCACATTAGTTAGGAGTTGGCTTGGGATGCCAGCTCTGTGCAGCAGGGCACCGGTTCGGATCCCACATGAAGGCCAGTGACACTGCGCCCTCTACAGCTAAGATGGTGAACAACAGCTCGACCTGGAGTTGGGCTGCAGTGAGTCACCGGCGATGGCATAGGCTGCAATGGGGCTGGCCGGCAGCTGGCGTGAGTTTTCGCAAGCTGCAGTGAGCGGCTGTCCAATGGCCACCCGAGACTGCCTCATTCGGGAAGAACGCAATGATAACACCAATATGGGCCAGCGAAGCAACGTCTTCCACAACTAGACTGAAGTACAAAAAGGACAGCAACTTGTCGGTTCCCCTTCCCCAATTCTCCAACGCTGTTCACCTCCCCCAATTCCCCAATAAAATCTTTAAAAAAGAAAAAGTTTGAAGACAGTTGCAATCCACTGAGTGTGATTCTTAGATTTCTTTTGAATGAGGTGAAGACCGCATAACACATCTGTGGTGTCACAGGCTCTTTGTGTTTCCCTGCCCCAAGAGTGACACAACGCCATTTAAATCAGGCATGCCAGCAGAAACAGATTTCAGAAGATCCACACATTTTTCGGTGTAAAGAAACCGTGATGCATCAAAAAGAGGCTTGTTTATCCCCAGAGGAATAAAGCAGACCAAAACAACCAGTAAAACTTACACTTTGGGATTCAAATGGAATATCTGTTTTTATAAATAAATCGATGATGGTGACGATGGACAAAGGAAACAAGCCCCGGGCACCCTGGTTAGAGCTGAAAAGAATCTTCCCCCAACGGATTTGCTTATGTTCTTTATTTTTCCATTATGACAGCTGCCTTTAGAATGAATTCAAGAAGAAATGTGTGGAGTAACTAAACGCAGTTACCAGTCTGATGCAAAGTGGATGGTTTTCTTTCCTTTCCGCCTACACAGCACCCAGGCTTCATGACTGAAATGCTGCAAAAATGCCTGCCGGCGCTCGCCAGCCCTAACCACATAACCGGCTCTTTCATTTATGAGCATGGGGCACGGAGGTTCTGTGCTGCGGCATGCTCAACTTGGAGACCAGTGGGCTGCATTCCTGTCCCCAAATTTCAAGGCAGGGTAAACAGTGGGGGTTGCCTCCTTTGGAGATGCTCCTCCCAGGTTTTAAAAAGAACGTAAGGTTTTACATCCTCTCACTGGAGTCTTAGGCTGTAAGCAGAGGAGAAGTACACGCTTCCCCCTCAGCAAAGAGGATGTAAAGTAATCTGGGGGATGAAGGAGCCATAAGCCACAGTGGCAAATTCTTGTCCTAATTACAGCGAAAGAGAATGGAGATGAGGGAGGTGAGGGCTCCCGTGAGGCTGGCTTGTGCTTATGCAGCTCCAACCATGTTGCAAAACATGCCATCAGAAGGCAAATTCTGAGGAAACAAACCATACGCCAGTCATCAGCTTGGGCTCAGGTATCAACTTAGGGTCACAGGCTATGAGAACTCAAAGGAATTTTAGTTAACCTGCAGATGAGATGGCTTATCTAATGTCAGTTAGCCATGGGCAGAGCTGGGGCTGCCACGCCACAGGGCCATCAGGGTAGGAAGGGCACGCGGGGGTCTCTTATCAGATCATGCTGGGGCTGGGCTCTGCAAACGACATGTCCCATAGTCCCCTGCTAGCTGACTGGGGTCTGGTACAGAGGCGCTGGTAGAGTGGGAGGCAGGAAAGGGACAGAGGGACCGTCTTCCTTTTCCCAGTTCCTGTCAGTGTCCCCCCAGCAAGAGGACAGCAATGGCTCGTTTCCAGGTTCTTTTGGTAGCCCCAGCACTAGTGGCTGTACCCCGAGTGGTGTGCACACCAGGTATCAGGCCGCAGTCAGAGGTTTGAGCACTGGCCATGCGGTGGGTGTCGTCTTCCCCACCAGAGATCCAAGCACTCGTGTGGCGTCTCCTTCAGAGGTGCGGGGACCTCTCGGAGTGCCTGGGCTATGGTAACCCTACTGTATCCTGGGGGTGGGAACTGCTTCCTCAATTATTAGTATCTGGTGCCTCAAGTTCCCCATTACGTCTGCCTCCTTGTGTCACCTCGCCTGCTGCCATACCTGCCGCGTCTTTCTTACTGGCCCCTGACAGATACAGAACTTGGTATCCAGAGTGGATTTGTCTACCACCTTTGGCACACCTGCCTTACTAGAGTATGTAATATATTTGCTGCTTCCTGATCACCCGGTCCAATGTCAGGGACCAGTGTGATGTTCTGAGGGGCGTCAAGACATTCAAGGCCTCTAGATTATGGCAAGAACAGAAAACGTGACGTAGCCAGGATATCATGCTCATTTCTTAACAGCTGTAACTTCCTTCTTCCCAAGTTTTTCCCTTTAAATTAAATGTAAAAATTAGTATCAATTCATTTTATCAACAAGAATCGGATCTGAAAATTTCTTGTTAAACATGCTGTTCTCTAGCATCTGCTTACTTGAAGGCAAGTGAAAAAAAAAATCAAAGTAGCTGAATTCTCCACTAGATGGCAATCATTACACGAATTTGTGTTAGCCTCCCATTCCCATGGCACCAGGGGCCAGCTGACAGATCCAAGACGGATAAGGGTCACCACTCAATATCTCAAACGACCTCACAGCACAAAGGGGCCCGTCCCTCTTCTGCCGAGGCAAGGGGCACTGAGGCAAATGTGCTGTAACTTCTAACACATGCAAAACTGGTACAGAGCAATTTTTTCCTTCTAGTGCAAATTCAATTTGTATTTTTGAAGAGTCACGTTTTTTGTTTCTAAATTCTTGGGAATTGGGTTGAAGTCAGGGCACTCTTATCAAGCAAAAACATACTGATCACTAAAGCAACATGGGAAATATAAATGCATGTTAGATGTGGTCCCTACGCTGAGAGCATGTGAAGCCATTGGGAAAACCCAACAGCAATCTGAGGACCGATGCCGGCTGCCAAACGCTCTGTGTGGACTGCAAGGCACGATGGAGTCAAGCGGAAGACGGGGTTCAGGCCGAGTCCCGGACGGGGATGCAGCTCTGAAAACAGAGAAGGGGAAGACAAGTCCAGGCAGAAGGGTGAGGGCAAAGACACGGATGGAAACGTGCAATGTGCTTCAGGTACAGCGATGAGACCGATTTGGTTGGGGTTGGAGGCCTGAGGAGGAATAACAAATCTGGAAAGCGAGGCTGTGTCAGGCCTTCTGTATCAGGAGCTGGGACGTCGGCCTGAAGGAAACGTGGCAGCACTCAAGGTTTCCGAGTGGGGCTGAGGGACAGGGAAGGGAGCAGTGGCACCCCGATGACAGTGGCAGTCAGGAAGAGCAGGGCAGCTAGTGCCGGGGCTACTAAAGCACTCGTGAAAACAGGACACCAACACCAGCAGATGGAGTGACGGGAAATACGCCTTTATGTAACGTGTCTACAGTTTACAAAGGACTTCCATTCACATGATCTCATTTTATCCTCAGAACAACTTACGAAGTAGAACATTTGTCACATTTCACCAGTAAGAACAGCTGCTCAGAAACGATGCTATCACCTTTGGCGGGCGGTTTCCTGTGCTGGTTTTTAGGGAACTATCTTCTTTACTTTTTACCCCCTCTCATTATCCCTTCTCAGGAAAGGCTTTTTCTTCCGGATTTCCCCATAAACACAGATGTGCGTGGCCTCTCCTCTCCTCCTGCTATGCCCTCATCACATGACCTGATCTCTTCTCATGGTTTCAGCCATCGCATATAAACGGACGGCCACCAATTCTATCATGCTTGGCCCAGATCTATCCCCGGGGAGCACCTGACTACATGTACTCAAGTCCGGCTGAAAAGCTCGTGTTCATCAAGCATGTCCACAGCGAGGACACTGTCAGCAGTCGCAGGCCTGAGAGGAAAGCCAGCAGGGACTGCCAGGAGGGAGAGGCCGGGGCTCGGCACAGGACAGGACTGGAAAAGCCACTGCAGCTCAGAGGCTATGAGAACCTGAAACATTCGGTGTTGTATTTTAATATTTTGATTCTTATTTTAAATCTTTTCACACATGGTCTTAATTTCAAGTTGCTTCAAATCTTTCTCTGAAAGCAAGAGGTTTAATATATAAATCTGGATGCTGCTCACAAGATTCCTGTATGGCTGACAAGCCAAGTACGGTTAGTCCGATTTTATAACTCACTCACTCACGGATTTATTCAAACACTTACTGAGCACTTTTTATGTGCCAGGCATGGTGCAAGGTGCTGGGTATAACAAGGATTAAGACAAAGTCCCTCAAGGAGCTCACAGTCTAACGGTAAACTACTGAGTGAACTGAGGCACAGAGCGGTAAGTGACTTACCCAGTGAGGTAGAATTAGCTAGGTACTTGGAAACGGGGGACTAGCGCTGGCGAGAGGGCAGGGGGCGGCTAACTCATCACAAGTCAAACTCCTTTGACTGACGAGCAAGGCTGCATACAGAAACATATTACAAAATCTGCTGGCAAAAGGTTAAAATAGTTTCCAATTTTCACCATAATTGAATACATGTCTCGTGATCACTTAAATCACTATCTGATAGCATTTCCACACTGGCCCCTGCAGGCCACTGGTCTGCTCAGACACAATGGCTGTAGGTAGCTCAAATCCAATTCTAACACTGGGAAGCATACTGAAATTCTTTCATTAAATCCACGAACTTTAAATGGATAGCGTATTTATGATACTTCTACATGTAGAAGTTTGGAAAAAACTCTCCTCTAACCCTCATTCCGAGGATTCTAATAAGTTATAGATACCACAGGAATTAGAGAATTTGTTATTTCCATATATACATTATTTGGCTGTACAATGGGGACAAGTTTCACTCCGACATATTTTATAAGGAATCTAAACATTATACAGATAGATACAAAGACGCCACACTTAGACGCGTGTGTACACCTATCAGTATACAACAGCTACCTGCAGACGTGAACCACATAAGGCAATTTCTTTTGTGATAACGACATAGAGCTTTGAAGGGCGAGCAGAGTCCACGGAGAATTGTCCATTTCAGGCTTGACCATCTGTTTTAGTAATACTCTTTGTGATATATTTATTCCTGTAGCTCAGAGTCTGTTTCACTGACAAAAAACAGTGTATTGCGATAAAGAGTTGTTTTCGACCGCAGGAACCATAATTATCCAGTGATCTAAGTAGTGAACTGCTCAACGGCGCTACTGGCCTTAATGCTGCTACTGCCGGGAACGAGGGAGCTTCACGGACAGTTTATTGCTCTGAGAATCAAACGCGATGCATACTTCTTCCATACAGGATGTCCCAAAACACTCACTACTCGAATTCTCAACTCCTATCAGTTGCCTACTTCAAGCAATTCTTCACTTTGTTGTGAAGGATTTTCTTCTGAAAAATTACAAACATGGAAGAAATTCTAAGTGAGGTTGTAAAAGAGAACCATGTAACAAAACATACGATTCAACTGCTTAAAAAACTGAAGATCCCTGGTCAAGAACCATATTCTCATGCCAATGGCATAAAGCTAACGTTTTCAGTCTCACAAGAATAAACTGGAAGTCAAACACGTACCTGGAAGCACCTGCCAGAGAATGCAGGGAGACTTCTCCACGGACATCACCACCAGCTGGCACCAACGGGGGCCAGCCGCAGCTCTAACCTTTCACTCATATCAAAACCACATGGAATTCAACTGCAAAGTTGTTCAAAATATTCTGAACTCTATTAAGAATTACCTTATAATTTTTTTAACTCGTTTTTGTGGCTAGGCCACAATACATATATATTTTAATAATCACTAGAATCTTAAATGTTCCTAATCACAGATCTGGTGAGTTTACCTTGATCAGGGGGCTCTGGGTGTTTGTTTTTAGATGAAGAGGTCCCTGCACCTTCAGACATTTTGCTACTCGCGTGATCCTGCTCCACTTCACACAGATAAACATCGATGGGCCCTTTCGTGCTCCGGATGTGGACGGTGATGGAGTCCTAGCAAAGACATCAGGATAAACGAAGAATTCATGGGTCGTGTTTTTTCACTTAACCAGAAATGCAGACGTTTCAAGGGACATTTCTGAAAATTCAAATTCAGGTACTTTCCTGTCATATATTTACGAAAATCTTGTACTTAGCTTTAGTCACATTAAACCACTGGCCAACTCACATTTTTAAAACAGCTACTTGATCACAGAACAGTGGTTTCAGAGCAGTAACGTGAATACCGCGGTATAAGAGCCCAGCTGTTTCTACTCAAGGAGTTAGTTGACTGACCCCTTCAAGGAATCTGTACTTGAATTTTCAAAAATCCATGTTTTGATGACAAAGAAATCTAAAATAGAAAACCCTGCAGTCTCAAATGTAAGGGTGTGTTTACGTTTCCAGACCAGTGAGGAGGTAGTGAGCTATCTGAAAGGACTATTCTTCCATCTGAAAAGGCAACAGAATGAGGTCAAGACAAAACATACCTCGTGTAAGTTAAAACACTAAAATCTGTACTGGGTGCTTTTACTGAGAATTGTGCTAATTCTTAAGGCACAGTTCCGGTTATGGCTCCTCTTGTTTTGATTGGGAGTGGGTGCAACTCCAAGTCTGTGTGCTTCACTTCCGTGCGGCCAGGTCTGGACTGGGTACCAGACAGCACCGCCCTCTCCTGGTCTCCTCACTGGGACCTCACAAGAGTCCGGTGAGACAGCATATCAGTCTCAGAACCCCGCGTGCCATCCTTTCCATAGCGTCCTGGTCTCACACAGGTAGACTGGGGAAAACTGCACTCGGCTTCTAGGTACAGGTGAGGTCTGGTTTGAATGGCCTACACTGTACAACTCAACAGCTATTTTTAAACAATAAAGGAAACCAAATGCTGCTCAGAACTGGCAGCCAGCTGAGGGCGCATATTCCACAAAATCGGGTTGGCAAACGTCTTCCGTAAAGGGTGAGATAGGAAATATTTTTGGCCTCATGGGCCACACCATCCTGTCACAGCAACACAACTCTGCTGTTACAGAGAGAGGCAGCTGGATAGTACGTGAACACAGGGCATGTGGCTATGTCCCAAAAGGATTTTACAAAAATCCAGCAGGCTGGATTTGACCCGGACGCCAGTCTATCCAGCCCGGCGCTAGACCCCAGGTCTCTGTGGAGCCGGACTCCACTAAACACAGCGTGCTCCTGTTTCTCACCCCCCATTGCTGACAATGGTTGCCCAGAGGGCCCATGTGCACTGGCTTCTACATGGGACTCGATGAAGTCTTGGGCATGACCAAAAGGCTCAGCAAGATTTGACAGTTAGTCAGAAGCAGCTCCCGCACACAGAAAAAACCCCAAAACCCATCAGTCACTGCAGAATGGGGTCTCATGCCCCAAAAGAAGGATGCGTTGAAAAACTAGTGGTTATTTTTTTGAAAAAAGAGTTTAAAGGGGCCGGTGGAGTGGCTCATTGGTTAAGAGTTGGCTTGGGATGCCAGCTCTAGCAGCAGGGCCCCAGTTCAGATCCCACATGGGCCAGTGACGCTGTGCCCTCTACAGCTAAAATGGTGAACAACAGCTCGACCTGGAGCTGGGCTGCTCCAGCAACGGCGTAGGCTGCAGCCCCTGCTGCAGTGCGCTGCCGTAAGCTACCGTGGGTGGCCAGCAACCGATCTGCCTCAGCCAGGAAGAGCACAATGATCACAACACCAACATGGGCCAGTGAAGCAACGTCCTCCACAACTAGACTGAAGAACAAAAGGAGAGCAACTTGTCTGTTCTCCTTCCCTGATTCCCCAACTCCCCAATAAAATCTTAAAAAAAAAAAAAAAGTTTAAATACCTGTGAAATGACTCAAACTAAATATAAATGTTACTTAGGAGGCTTGGACTTTCTAAATCCAAATGAACAAGGCAATATCAGCAAGAAGTCACAATCTGAGTGTGACTGGAGTAAAAGGATGCTGTTTCTTAGTCGATGTGTGACACACTCACATAACAACATGGACTGTGACCTGGACAGTGGTCTGCTGGGGAGAAAGGGTGGTGGTGTGCGTATCTTTGCTCTGAGGGAGCTAAGACCCTACAGCAATGACAACACCGCTACAAGCACCGATGACTATCAGGCAGTCGGAACTGGTGATCTGTCCCAAGAATGGTCAGTTCTTGGTCCCGACTCCATCCCTACCACGCTACCTTCCAATGACAATTATCTGTCAATACAAACTCTCCTGCAAGGGAAAGTATACTAAGCAGCTGGCAGCTGACATGGGTCCTTTCCTTTACAGAGCATTTTACTTTTCACCCTCAATGTATAGTGTCCCAGTTTATTCACGGGTCTCTTCTGAGTTTGGTCAGGGAGTTATTCCCTGGGGCCTTGCCTGACACCATGTCTTCCTGCTGGAACTTCCAGACTGAGGCCAGTACTTGGTGGTTCCTCTGAGGCAGTGTGGCACCATGGTTATGAATAGACTGAAGCCAAACTATTCGGGTTTGAATTCAGATTCTGTCTTTTACTGTGTAATCGTGAGGAAGTTAATGACTGTTTCTGTGCTTCAGATTCCTCACCTCTAAGGGGATACCAACCACGAGCACTTCGCTTGTTGTGTTACTCAAAACAAGTTAAAATGCATCCAGCGCCGTGAGCAGTACCTGGCGTGCAGCTCCATCTGTGCACAGGAGGGTTCAAGTTATGCAGCCTGCAGGGTGGGAGCCTAAGCAGCTGGCCCGCCCCCTCTTTCAATCTTAAAAGCACAGGGCTCCCTACCTCTCTGGGAGCCGGAACATCCAGTCTGGTTTCTGCGGGAGCTTTCACTGCAATAACAATCTGTTCATGGAAGGCTTGGATACTATGAATATCTTGATATGTCACGTACGCTAGTGTAAAAATCAGTCAAGGATCTCTAAGCAGGGTGCTACTTATTGGGGAGGGAACTTGGCTCTTGCAATACAGGAACGCAAGTGTAACGTTAAAATGGCTTTAGTTTTTATGGGCTACAAATAATTAAGGAAAGCAGTTGGTAAAAAATTTTCGTATATAATTCTTATTATTTCATGAACAATTCTTAAGATTTTATAGCGCTTTAAAATATTTATAACTCGATTTAAAGAGTTCCTTTATAGTGTACTATTGTGACTATGATGACAATTTCTGGAGAAAAATATGAATCAAGTCTGAGTCCCTAATACAAACACAACTCATGAGGGTATCAAATCCACCCATCAAACCCCCATTCCCTATTCACTGCTGGATCTCACTATGAGCATCTCTGGGGAGAAATACTCAGAGTTTTGGTGAGAATCCCCCTAAAATGCATGGTGGAAAAAAAATCTGTGCAAAGCAGAAACAACTTCGAGAATAAGTGTTTCAGAACTATCTCCTTCTTCCTCATGAAATGTCCCTCACCCAGAATTCTCGTCCAGCTCGCGACCTGAATTTTTGCACTTGTTTTATTGTGCTGCCTACAATTTACCAATTACATGTTTTATTGGGTTTTCCCAGCATTCTTTTTTTCCTCCACAAGCCTTTTGATGGAGTGTGGTCATGTTGGCATTTATTTTCCCTTTAATACCTGTATTTGGAAAGAGTTCTGACTGATGTAGTTTAAGTGAATTCGGAACACGGGACAGGTGAGAACCGTGACGCCTCACCAGGGGCTGCCAGGGGAACCGAGCAACACGCAGCCCAGGGCACCAGGAGGAGGTCAGCTGCAGAGGCAAGTCTCCCCCGCTGGTGCCAGAGACACTGAGCTTCAGAGCAGTATTGGGCTCTGAGGGCTAGAAAGGTAGTTTAAGTGCCATTTTGCTGGCCATTCATTGTTTCAGAAATAAAATCTAGTTAACAAATTAGGGAAAACATAAATTTCACAAAAGCCAACAAATATCTTACCACCTTTAGAGTATTCAGACTACAAAAACGAACAAGAATGCCTCACCAATTTAATTTTAAAAGCAAATGCTAACCTTGTTACATTACTGTACTACTGAGGTCATGATGCAGCACTGAACTTGAATAAACACCACACCAAGAAGCTAAAGACTGTGATGTGCTGCTATCTGAGTGTGTTTGAGGCTCTACTACTAAACCTTTACATAAACTTACAAAGGTCGTTTGTTTCTTAAATATGTTAATTAAATCCCCAAGCTGACTTGACTGTTTAACCTGCTTTGGAAGGAGAACTTGTTTTAAAGGGTACAAGTCTATGAAGTGGTCTCCCTATCAAGACATGAGTCCAACTGGCCCCCTAAAAATTATTTACAACATTATTGATTATATTCATAGTCGGTGTAGAGGCCTGACCGCCACACTGTATATCTGAAGCTGATGTTGAATGATAATGTATGTCAACTATAATTATATACACATATAGTCACGGGACGTGGAGTAGAGTGTGGGAATGGAGTCAATGGAATTGTAATAGATATGTATGATATCGGGGGTGGGAGGGCAGTCGATGGGGGAGGGGGATTGTTTCTGTGTGAGGGGTAAAAAGGATAACTACTGCATTGTTCTGTACACCTGAAACTAATAATAAAATGAATGAATAAATAAATAAAAAATAAAGGGTACAGAGTCAAAGGATATCTTTCATTTTCTTTGTCATCTGTTAGCTCAAACAACTGCTGGGCACAATCCTTAATTAGCTCATCCAGAGCATCTTCCATCGCCGATAAGTCAGAAAGTTCCTCCTGCAGCTTCTTCTGTTGGGGCACTGCTCCAAAATTGCTGAGATCAGATCCTCTTGAAAAGTATTCAAGAAAAAGATCACCATCAGTGACATCTAAGAGGTGACAGACTGACGCAGGTTAGGTTCCCGGAACTTCTCCGAATGTTGCTATCAGCTGTTTCTCACCCTGACTGACAGAAACTAGGCACTTTTGATTTCACTTCTGTTCTCCCAGTATCCTAGGTAACCAGGCTTTTTCTGTACACAAATTGGGTCTCGCCCCCCTTCTAGTCCCTTACACAGGGCCTTTCAAAAAAACACACATCATAACCCTACGGAAATTACCAGGCGCAGGGAAAGCTTAATGAAATGAGCGTTGAACTAAGAGCCAATAACGCCCAGTTTAAGCCCAAGCTCTACTTACAGCGAGACTTCTGACAAGTTACACTTTATAGAATCCTTTTCTAACAAGAAGTCACATCTTACTTTGCTTTATATTGTTAAAACATTGCTAATATCTAGTGTGTTGTATTGTCACTTAATGAGAAGGAGGAAAAAAGCCATGAAAAGGTTGAAACCAACTCACATCCATCGAATATGGTTCTTAGATTTTTTTTCAACCAGGTCGATTCCATCTAAGACATTGGTGATGTCGTATACTCTTCGTTTTCGTACTCCCAGTTTTGTTGCAACCTTGTTTAAATCAAGAATACCCCCAGGAGCATTTCTGACAAGATCCATAAATTTTCGAGTTAAATAAACCAGTGATACATCAAAACGAGGTCTCTTCACTTTTAGAGCTTCTGGGAGACAAAACAAACACATTTGTAAAATTTTAAATAACATTTCTTTCTCAACTCATTAAAAAAAATCATTCATTTCCTTTTGATTAGTAAGAACACCTATAGAAATTCTACACATTAGAAATTCTACCAAGTCATAGCTAACTTTTATGAAATAGATTTCTCAAATTGGGTAAAAGTTTACTAGCCTATCCCAGGTAAGCAAAGACTTTAGACTTAAAAGAGTATTTGAAATATGCAACCAGCCAGCTGCATCTTATCAGGTAAAAAGTGGAGAGTTTGTATGCGTATCCACTCCGCTCAGGAATCAAATTAGAAATGGTTTTTACAATTAAATCTTTCATTTGGTCTTAAAGTTAAGAAATTCTTTATGAAGCAAAGGCAGAGATTTGGCTTTTTTTGTTTGTTTGCTTCAAATGTTTCTATACATGTCATAGTGTATCTGATGGAGTTTGAAAGAGCTCATATTGGTCTTCCATTAGGACAATTATATACCTCCAGGAAAAGTGGCATATCTATTTTTAAAAATATTCACTACCCTCTATTAACAGATAAGCAAATGAAGGGGAAAAAACCCCTTAAATCACTTACCCACCTAATATGATGACTGCTTTTTCATACATACTCTGCCCCCTCCACACACATACATACACGTGTGTGTCAATATGCATATATAGTTTCTAAAAACAAAAATAGGAACAGACTTTTTCTTTTAAGCTGAGCCATCCTGCTACCTGTTGGCAGCTCAGCGGCTGCTCAGCTCGGGCTGGACTCGAACCGCTGTTGCTCAGAGCTCAAACTCTTGAGCGAGCTCTTAACCAACTGAGTCACTCGGCCGGCCTGCAACAGACTATTTTTTAACATGCTGTTTTTAACTCAACACTGAACATCTCCACTTGTCAAGAAATGTATTTCTACCAGAAATGTAGTGTACAACGTGAGGACTACGGTTAACGCTGCTACACAATTGATAGATAATAAAGTTAAGAGTGTTGATCTTAAGCATTCTCATCACAAGGGGAAATTTTTTTCTTTGTATTGCATCTATATGAGATGATGGATGTTAACTAAATCTATCGTAGTAATCGCTTCACAATACAGGTAAATCGAACTAGCATGCTGTACACCTTACACTTATAGTGATGTGTGTCAATTATTTCTCAATAAAACTGGAAAAAAGGGTATTTTTTCTTAATGGCTACATAACATTTAACTCCACGAAATAGTCGCTAACTTGCCCCAATACTGGAAATTTAGATTGTCTGTAACTTTACAGTTTTCCATAATACTTCAGCAAATCTCCTTGCAGCGACATTTTTATATGCCTCTTTAATGATTTCCTTTAGATAATTCAGAGATGTGGAATTGTCGAGTAAAAGCACATTTTTAACTCCATCAGGCGCAACTGATCTCACAGATTGTTTTGAATTTCTGTTGATTTTTATACTGAGTTTATATAATAAACATGTTGTTTTTACTTTGTGGCAAATTAAAATTTCATTCTGAATAAATAATAAGCATGCCTACACGTTATTTTAATTCATTTTCAATTTAAATAAATAAATGTCATACAAGCATCTAGTAGATGCATTGCACCCGACGGAGGGTTGAAGGAATTTTGCTATGTACTGCAAATCCTGCTCTCCAGGTTGTGGATTCTACAAGTTTACGCAGTGTATGAGAGCCTCATCTCATGCCTGCTAGAAGTGAATATTATCATTCTTTTCATCTTTCCCAAATTATACCCAAAATAAAAGTACTTATGGCTTGATGTGCAGAGGAAATAAATTTACAAATAACCTAACTGTCTTTCTAGTGTGGAGTATAGGATTTCTCTTTTTCTCTACCTCCACAGCATGCCACAGTTTGTATGTTTTAAAAGAAATAATCATCAATCAGAAATGTCTTCCTTATCCAGAACCTCTGCAATGTCATGATTCAGTTTAAAGACCACTGGTAGTTCTTCCAAGAACAGAAGTACATATTTTGTAATGTAAATGTCTTCTTTGTGGAGACCATTCCTATACTTAAAATTAAACAGCATTAAACAGAAATTAATTTTTTTAAATTACAAGTAGAAGAAAGTCACAATTCTACAGCAAACCTTGGAAGGTTACAAATGAGAAATTCTAACTTTAAAAAGCATACATTTACTTATACTATTAGATATATACTAACAAGTCATGGTCATATAAGCTTAGGATATTCCCTTCATGTTAGTCATTTTATAAAGAACAGATATTAACTGAACCCTGTAACACATGGTGAAGGGATATAATGATTAAAAAGATCTTCCCACAAAAGGCGGGTCTCTAAGGAGCTCTATTATAATATGCCGAGATAAGTGCTAAGAGAAGTATTCCAAGTCACTTGAGAAGGTAAAACCCTAACTGGGGTGAGACACTGGGAAGGCATCCTAATGAGAGAATGCTGGGTACACAGAATAGAGAGATGAACAGGAGGGCCAGGGCCCTAAGTGAGCCCGAGGGAACCGCATGTCAAAAGCCGGAGCAGCATCTGAGAACGGTGTATTCAGGGAGCCCACAGCCAGTGCAGCTTCAGCTGGGTGGGCAGCAGCGTGCCGGCAGGCAAGGCTGCAAAGCCAAGCAAGAACCGGCGTCCAGGGCCTTGTCTCATTGTCTGTCCATTCCCTGCTGCCTGGTTTCTTTTAAGGATACAAGGTAGCTTCTAAATTTAACACAAATAAGTAAAACCAAATAACTGGCGAGTCAGGGTTTTCTCTGTAGGTTATGAGGAACTTTAGGTTGAGTGATACCATCGTCCCATTCCTGTGTTAGAAAAATCACACTGGCCGCAGATGGGAAGCGGCTAGGGGGTGGAAGGGTCTGGGGGCGGACCACCCACTTAGGAGGCTGTCCCGCTGCTTCCTTGGGAGCGTGAGAACCGAAACCAGAAGCAGCGGTCAAAGACACTGGTGAAGACTGTGGGCTCCAGTCAGGAAGGCATGTGACTGCGCAAGGTCCTTCACCTCTCGGGGCCTCCCTCATCTATAAAAATGGATAATAATCCATACCTACACCTTGAAGCGTTGTTGGGATAGTCCATGCAAAGAGCTTAAATCAGGGCCAGGCATTGTGTGAGCTCAATACATGGTAGACATGACTGCAAGTCAGTGGTAGAGGACAGACGAAGAAACGCTTCAAAGGTGAAACTTGGGGACTAACTATGGGTGAGACGGTGGCAGGGGTTGAGGAAAAATTAAGGGTTGCTATTAAGATTTCTATATCGGCATATACGCACTATGTATTTGATGAGATTAGGACCAAATTAAGGGGGAGCTGGGGTGGGGCAATCTATCACAAGGGTTTCCAGGACAGGGAACTAAATAAGGCGGCTGGTTGTCCATCTCCTTGAACTGACTCAACACTGATGCACAGCAGGAGCCAAAGGAAAGAGCCAACGTCAGAGGGAACCAGGAGGGCGAGAGGCCGTCATGTCTGCTGTCAGGCTGCCTTCAATCCTGCCGACAGCACGAGCAACCACCTCCACAGAGCTCGGGGGAGACGGCCGTCAACACAGACCACTCTATTTTTAAAATAATGTGTCCAAAGCAAAGGAGAATAAATGCATTTGGGCACATTATTCAGCCCACAACCTCGGGAAATTCCAAGCTTTACATTTCAGTGTACAAATAATATATTTTATTTCAGTTTCTCATCAACTTATGTACATTTAAAATAAATCATTTAAAGTACTGTTAATTTCACAAAGGAACAAAGGATGTTCAAACTACAAAATCGAAAACTTATTCAGGAATCAACTTACTTCTCATGGACACATATTGTACATTATCTTCTAAATTAATCCTGATTTTTGATGGCTGGAAAAAAGAAGACACAGAAATTTAACTCAGTAATTTAAAAACAACAATGCAAACGAATAGCATTTTACTGGACAAAATGTAGGTCTCTTTTTCACCAGGGGATAATCATTTGGGTGTAAGAAAACGAGTCCTTCTTCCAAATTATGTTTACTATAAGTGTAATCACGTCTTACAATGTTCACAGATTTAAATTTCTAAGGTAAAGAGAGAGAGGGGTGGGGATAAGGAATGCTGAGGGAGACAGAAAATATGAGTACGAGGATTTATTACTGAATAGACAATTTACTGACTGCATCAGGTCCTGAGGATAAAAATACAAATCTGATTAGGACATTGTCCCTGGCTCTGGAAAGCTCAGTGGAGGCATAAGGTATACCTAAATAAATGTTCACCTCTTGTTATTTAAGCGTAAGTGGCTCCAAAAAATGTGCCCACAAACTTTCCCAGGCAGCTGTGCAGCCCCATTATGGTTAATAAAAAAGAGCAACGTTTCTCATGATGGGAAATAATGCAAGCTACACAACTAGAAGCTTTGGTATTTAGATGAATTGAAAAGCTTCTTTTCAATCCCTGAAACAACCAGGAAATTGGTAGTAGCTGCTCACTATTTCATCAGCTGGATAGAGGCTATGAAAGTTTACATAAACTGGTAGAAACATCTGCAATATGTTTAGAAATTGTTTTTGCAAAAAAATAAATAAAATCTTTAGATAAAGCCATGTAAACAGAAACCTGCATTAGGCTTGTGCTTAGAGCCAAGTATTATGATGTCATGTGCCTCCCCAGACAGGCTGTGATCAGCTTCAGCTCTTGTCTAAGTGAAAAAACTGACCCCTAAACTGGCCGTAGCAAAACTGCTGTAAATGAATTGCGTAAGGTGCTCTAAGGGAAGAATCAGCAGGACTACCACGGACGCCCCACAGACGGAAGCCCCAGGATTTACAGGGAAGGGAACCCCTAGCTGAACCTTGAAGGACAAGCCTTGAAGAGCATGCTAGAACCACACTCAACGTGGAGGACCATGAAAGTCACACTAAGGAATTCAGACTTCGTGGCATAACCAGTGGAGACTCACCACCGATTTCTGAACAAGAATACAACATATTCAAGCTCACAGTTTGGGAATCTAAGTATGGGAGAAATAGGGCAAAGACTAGGCAATGGGGAAGCCTGAAGGCCACGTAAGCAGCTAAGCAGCTCTTTTATCAGTGTCACAAATCCTTGGCACAATGATTTCCAGATCGTCTATGAAAAGATGATAGCATGTATTAGCGCGTTAACTTGATATGGAATAATTCCACCGAAATAGAACTCAACTGTAAAGTTAATTTAGTTGTTAGAATTTAAAGGAAAACATAGCCCTGCTGGGTGTGCAAAACCAGAGCTGGAAATGCCTGTCTTGGGGGCAGGGACTATGTCTGGCTAGCTGACAGCAGTGACTTGCAAACAGAGGCTCCCACAGCGAAACACAGAAGGGCAGTCCTATTCGGGTCAAACATGGGACAAGTATGACCAACTGGCATTGCTATTTTCGCATTTACCCCTTCTGCTAATGACTATGAGACAGTCTAACTACTGTAGTAAGATTCTTTAATGAAAAAAATCCATGCTTATCACAATGATTTGAAACACACACAAACAAATATCCTGAATTATTACATATAGATTAAGGTCTGTTTATGAGTTTCTGTTTAGCCCATGATCTGTTACTTATGTATGTGCGGCACACTCCTTTAACGACTATAAACTTGACTCCTGTTGGTGCAGCCGGAGAACCATGCAGAAAGGGCTCATGGGTGCCTTCTGCTGCAAAGAATTCTGTCCTAGGTTTAGAGCAGCTGCGCCAAGACGCGCACACACAGTGCATCCTGGTTCCCGACAGGCTGCCTCACTACCTGCTCCCCACCTTTCCTGCTCGATAGCCCCCTCCCTCTTGTCACCTCATCTAGACTGCTGTTATTCACAGGCTGGCACAGGGATAATACCACAATGAGGCATAACAACAGAAGTATCACTTTCTTTTCCCTGGATTCTGTATTGTTGGCTAGACCGAGATCTGTGGGAAAACAGGCTCCAACAGCATCCATTCATTTTTTTTTTCTTTGAATATGAAAACACTATCTCTTTAGCTTGGAGGAATCACAATAGCATCATGGCCCCTCAGGAGCAGACATCCCAATATGTATAAATCCTATCGGTCTACAATTCTGGAGATTTCCAAAGTGCCCATGGTAACAACACATTCACCTCCTATATAGTCACAGTAGTTCTGGCCTAAGACTGAGCTCGGGACTACTAATCACGTGACTTCTTAGATGCGGGGCGATCCCGACCTTCATCTGTAACATGTGTCGTGGTATAACTTTATTGCCCATTTTCCAAGCTATTGTGAAGATTAAATGAGAAATTCTGTAAATTGTAAAACCCTACGCAAGCACATGTTATGGTTTTCCTTTTTGAACCAGAATAGTGCCTGGTACATTCAGGCACTTGGAAAAAATTTGTTCAACTCATGTATGGAGATTGAAATGGTTTCTAGTAACATGTCATAGATGACTTCAACTGACAAATAGCTTAGCACCATGAAACAATGAGTATTTAGACACAGGACCCCGGGGCGAAGACTCCCCCCCCCCCTTGCCGGGCACACCAGAATAAGTATCTCTGAAAAGATATGCAGCCTCATGTTCTGCTTTCTAATCTGACGTGCATCATCTGGAGATCCAGCCTGACAAGCCCGGCAAGCCTTCCCACGGGAACTTCGGTGACCTGCATTTCACAGGTAGGACAGCTCTTCTGGAAGTAGATCGCACTAGCTACGAGGACCTTTTGAAGTGACTTTAAAATCAGAGTGTTTCCTCACACAAAACTTAGTGAGCTATTAAAGAAAAGTAAATGAGGGCCGGCCGAGTGGCACGTTGGTTAAGAACTGGCTTGGGACACCAGAGGGCCCCGGTTCGGATCCCACATATGAGGGCCGGTGACACTGCCCTCCACAGCTAAGATGCTGAACAACAGCTCAACCTGGAGCTGGGCTGCCATGAGTCGCCGGCGACGGTGTAGGCTGCAGCCCCTGTGGCAGTGGGTTGCCATGGGCTACCGTATGTAGCCAGCAGCCAGCGTGAGCGGCCAGCAGCCAGCGTGAGTGGCTGTCCAGAAGCCGGTGACTGATCTGCCTCGCCTGGGAAAAGCGCAATGATGGTGCCAACTTGGGCCAGTGAAGCAACGTCCTCCACAACTAGACTGAAGAACAAAACAACAGCAACTTGTCTGTTCCCATCCCCCCAATTCTCCAATTAAAAAAAAAAAATCTTTAAAAAAAAAAAGTAAATGAAATGCCACCGTGCACTTGGGCCCAAGTCACTGAGGACCTTCCGATCAAAGTGGTGCACCTCACCCCTGGAGGGACCCTAATGGGGCTCTACATCCTTTATGGACCCTACAAACGGGGACAGGAGGAGAGTAGAGAGGGGCTCCCACCTGTGCTGAGAAACAACGGAGGCCCCTCCCCACAGGAGGCCGATCCTGTGGGCTCCCTTCAGGGATACCCATCTTCTTTTTATCTTGAAACAATTTCAGTCTTTGGAAAAGACTTAGTACTAAGAATTGCAAAATACCTTCACCCAAGTCGCCCAAATGTTCATGTTTTATTACATTCGCATTATCACTTTTTTCTCTATACACACGCATGCTTTTTTTTCCTGAATCACTTGAGGGTACACTGCAGACACCTAAATCAATGTGTAGCTCAAGGGTGTTCCCTTCTACGAGCACAATATAATTACCAAAAAGTCTGTTCAAGGCTAAGCAGTCTTGAAAAGACTGTCAGTAGAAACCTGGACTTTGAGGACACTCCCTGTCAGTGAGGGTTCAAAAGGAAGGGAAGAACATGTTATCAGAATCTAAGGGGGATCCCGTTATGCTAAGACAGAGCACTTAGCATCGCTGTGGGGAAGAGAAGACATTAATGGGCGGCGTGATCCAACTAAGGAGATTTCCATGCAGAGGGCTGACGCTAGCACCTGGCTTCTCCTTGCAGCTCGTAGAAAATGTGAGAGAGAGAAATTGAGGGAATAACTGTTAAACCAAATGAAGCCAGGACTTAGTAGCTTTAAAAACTCTCAGCATCTCCAGAAGCTAAAAATCAGCAACTTCTGAGAAAGACCAAATCAAAGGCACTGCCAGGAGAACAGTGTAAAGATGAAGGTGAGGGCGCGACTACAACTTTCTGTTAGCACCTCAGCGACATCAAAAACGGCACCTGAGGAGCCTCTTCCATCACACAAAAGGCCCGGGAAAGAGCTTCAGGAAGAGCCCGGCGGGCCTAGGCGGCTGCAGGTCCCTGTCACTCAGCCATGCCAGCAGGGGTCCCAGGCACAGAGGGTTTAGCTTGAAGAAATCTGTGAGTGGGGCTCTTGTCTACTAGTGAGTGAAGCACAAGATTCACAGCAGTGAGTTCTTCAGTTTCTGCGAGAATTCTATCAGCAAAACCACTGCCAGCTTGGGCTAAACGAAACAGAGGCAGTTCAAATGCAAAGCGGACACCTCAAATCCCACTGACAGGAAGCAGGCTGAAACAAACTACTGAGCTACACTGACATCACCTTTCAGGAAAAGAAAAGGAAGACTGACAGTGCAGCCAAGAGCCCAGTGCGTAGAGCCTGGAGCAGGGAGAGTTATGCCCAGGCCTGGAGACCTGATCAAGAAATGCGCAGCGTTACCAGGCGGAACTGCAGCACTGCTGGGGACCAGTTTCTGCTCCGTGCCTCCGTGTCCCTCTTTCATGGACAGGCAGGTGTGAAGCAGTGATCCTATGTCCGCGGCACTAGTCTATGCCGTATGTTGGTGTATGGGGTCAGATAATGTGTGTTTAGTTTCACATCTAAAGACGTGGAGGAACTGTACTTAAATACACCTGATGAGCTTTCGTGAGCTGCGGGAAGAGCGCAATGGTAATACCAACATGGGCCAGTGAAGCGACGTCCTCCACAACTAGACAGAAGAACAAAACAGCAACTTGTCTGTTCCCCTTCCCCCAATTCCCCAGCACTGTTCCCATCCCCCAATTCCCCAATAAAATCTTTAAAAAAAAGAAAGAAATACACTTCAGCAGCCTGGGTTCTTTTTTTAGTCCATGAGTATAAAACCTGTTATTTAAAGGCTCAAATTGTCCCAGATTAGGCCTTTTCTAATAAGTACAGGACACTTATTTTTCACCTTTTCAGCATCTTTAGGATGAGTCCTCAGAGGAATGCTCCCTCAAATTTCTATGCGACTAACCTGCCAGGTGCCAGCAGAGATGCTGAAGCTTCTAGCTCCAGCAATCCACCACTGCAGGGCAGCATCAGTGCTGCTGTTCTTTTAAGAAAGTCTCACTGAGAGGTTACTCTCAGGTAATTTCCCTGAGGGGATACCAAGAGAGAGCCCAGCCAGTACCAGTCACACCTCAAGGCTGGACTACCTAAGAAACTTTCCCTTTCAATCCTCAAATCTATCTCTCATTTGTTCAGGTTTATTATACAGCCTTGGAAAGGAATGGAGAAGGCAGAGGCCTCCAAAATCACTAAGGATGACCTCATGCACACAGCAGTGTAAGAACCAGCGGCTTCTGATGGGCAAGTCAGCATGTTCCACGCTATTTTACTACTGTTCCAAGTCCCACATCTAAAGGCTGATGCTTCTGAGATTTCAAAGAAAAAGAAGAGTCTAAAAAGTGAATTTTGGGAACTTAAGCATTGCCTTTAAATTAGTTAAAACTTTCTCTATACAGATGCCCCTTTGTACCGATTGCCTGTTTTGGGGAATGACATCCTTGTAAGAGCCCTCTGAAAACATACCTTTCTCCAAGGTGAAAGCATTCATTTAAATTTTCCTTATTTTTCAATTTGCAAACTAAGTTCCACCTTCAAACAATACTATCTTCTCCCTTCTCAAAATTCCAGTTTTCAAGCCATTTACTTAATGGGAACATCAGACACTCAGCCAGATACATAACTAACCTCTGCATTTTTAAATACTTCCAAATCATTAGCCAATTAAAAAACACTGAGATAGGTGTTCGACTCACCATTTTATCCAAAAGAATAAGGAAGTATGAAAAATTTAGCAACTATAAGCAGTTCAGGAAAGATACACCCAGGGGCCTGATTAAGAAGTTTCTAATCTAACCTGAGAGCACTAGGGAACCACAACAGTCTTTAAGCCAAATGAAATGATCACAAATATGCTTTAAGGAGACCATATGGTTAGTTACTATGTGGAGAATATTCAGAAAAGTTGGGGGGCAAAACCAGAAGCAGGAAAACTGGTTAGGAAGACAGGAACAATCTGAAAGATAGATGGTCAGAAGTGGCAAGTATCGGCGATTAATTTTAATTGGATTGGAAGGATGGAGGGAGTCAGTTTGGAAAAGAGAAAAGGCAAGAATGATGCTTAGGACAGCAGCCTGGGCAACATGGTGGATGTGTTACCATATATTAACACAGGAAATAGCAAAGTTGTTTCTCGCTTAGGTTAAGAAGATAATGAATTCAATTTTGGATATATGAGTTTCAAATCTAAGTAGCGAGATCTAGTAGACAGTTGGAAAGCTCTGAGCTTGATTTATAGGTTTGGGAGTTATTATGACATACTAACTGAACTACCACGGTGAATAAGAATATCTAAGACTTCAGGGATGTGTGTATCTTCTGATATTAAACGCAAAATTAAGTTGGTTTTTCCATAGTGAGAGCTCAGAACATTTATCAGATTCTCAAAGATTAAGACCACCAATAGAGATGGTAACAGAAGTCATCAGAGTGGTGGCGAACGACATCCCACATGACTGTGTATAGAAGGTAGAAGAGAACGCTGAATAACACCAACATGTAAGGAATGGGAGAGGAAGCGGAGTTTGCAAAGGAGCACGAGAGGCCAGATAAGTGAGTAGATAGAGCATCGAGTGTATGTGGTGTTAAGAGAAGCCAAGCGATGGCGCGCGTTTCCAGCAAAAGCGAGTGTCAAGCATGTCAACGCTACAGAGATAAGGAGTGGAACATTCGCTGGAACTGACCGTGTTGTTGGCAACCTTGGTTAGAACAGTCTTAGAGCTGTGCTGAGGGCAGAGGTCCCCTGGCAGTGGATTAAAGTGGTAATGATTGGTGAGCACGAAGACACAGTGAATGCAAACAACTGTTTCAAAAAGTCTGACTGTGAAGGGGAAGAGATGCAGTAGAAGGACATGAAGAATTAGGGGAGGGATCTTTTAAGATGGGGATGGATTTAGAATGCAGTTTAAGCAGTCAATAATTTATAATTTGGAGCCAGACATTGTGAGGTTAAACCCAGGCTTTTCTACGTACTATCTAACCATGGGCAAGCCACTTAACATCTCCAAGTGTATTTTGGCAACTGTAAAACAAGAATATTAATCTCTTAGGACTACTGTGAGGAATTAAATAATATCATTAACGACTTTTGAGCACTGAGTCTCCTTGCAGACTGGGCACACTGGCTTCAGTAAAGGTCTAGTTACTAGTCATGGGAAGAAACCAGCAGAGAAGTTGGAAATATGAAGAGAAATGGAAAATGACGGATTCATTAGTGGCCCAGAGAACCAAGGAGAATATACTGCATGTAATCTAGAGCAGCAATAGAGGAAATTAACCTTTTGCAGGAAGGAAGCCCAAGCTCCCCTTGAATTTTTTTGTCTTTGCTGAATGGGGGGCTGTGGGGTGGGAAATGTGAGGGGTGGACAAGCTTTTAAATGTTTACAGTTAAGGCGAAGAAACGGGAGAGAAGGCCGAAGAGAAAAATGACAGTTTGCAGAGATATACTCAGGGTGGGTGGAGGTAGGCAAACAAGATTTTCTCATGCAACGTTGAGCAACTTTCTCCAACAGTACTCTGTAGCCCCAAGGTAAAAGCCAGGAAGGCTAACACATTTGAGTACATGTTGCAAGAAGACAACAGTTGAAGCGAATGACCTGCTTGGTGTATAGTACATAATGGGCAGTGCAAGCGCAGCGGAGGCAGAGGAGCGGCCCAGCCGAGCTCACGACTCGGGAGACACTCAGTCCAGCTTCTCCAAGGAGGGAAAGAGGCGCCTGAGACGCGACCCGACCCGACCCGGTCCGGTCCCAGGCGCGCAGGGCTCAGACTGTCCCCGGGACTTACCAGCAGGCCTTCCACGTTGATGGGGTCTCGACACCGGCGGCGTACCGTCTCCTCTGCCGGGTCCACAAGCAGGCTGGGCAATTTTCGCGCCGGCCGTTGCTGACTCATGCTGCCCAGCCGGCGGCCCCTCGCCCTCGCACCCCGCGAGCTCTCCCGCCTTCTCCTGCGCGGGTCGGACGCCGCTCCCAACACGTTGGTTCCCGGAGCCAAAAACTGGTCTCGCGGTCTGCTCGGAGGTTCACTTGGCTAGGTTGGGCCGGGGACGCACGCGCCACTGCCCAAATGGCCCCGGGAGGGATCACGCAGGCTGGAGGAGAGCAGGGAGACCCACGATTCTCAGGACGCCATGCCCGCCATCTTTTCGCATGCGCAGTGCGCCGCCCCCAGTGCGCATGCCTGCCACAGCGGGAGCGCTCCCACGCACTGAATCCTCTCCCTGAGCTGGAGCCTGCGAAACCCCGGGAGGCGGAATCCACGGAGAGGATGGCTAAGGAAAAGGAAGAGGTGGAGCAGGAATTCGGAGGAAGGGAACGGCACGGAAAACAAAAACAAAAACAGGCGGCCGGGAAAACCGCGTTTGTTCCGCGGAATTCTTGACGTAACGACACTAGTATCTGAAAGTTCTGAGTGGGCGGAGATGTTAATTTATTCTTAAGCGCCCTCTGCATATCTCAGGCACTTGCCCAGTGTTGATGCTTAGTAAATGTTGGAAACCAAACCGTTGCAGAATTGTTTCCTTATATGCTTCTTTCTCTGCCTTCTTTCCTTTTTCTTCCTTGCTTCCTTTCCTTCTTTCATTTGATGAATAAATAAATGAATGAATAAACCTGTTGTGTCAGATATTGTGGTGGGCACAGGAGATATTCATTTGAAGTTGGCACAGTCTCAATCTCAAATTCCAGTGGAGGATAGAGACATAAAGAGGACATTTAAAGCTGGACCCAGAGTTGTGTTTTCAAACCCTGACTCATTCCAAGTTTATAAGACTTTAAGCAAGTTACTTAATTGCTCTGTGCCTCAGTTTCCTCATCTGTTAAATGGAAATAATGACAGTACTTACCTCATAAGGCTGTTATGAGGATTCAGTGAGTTAATGAATTTACTTAGAAAGGGACAGGACACATTTGAAATAAAAAGGCAATGGAATGCCTTAAGTACCTGTTGGATGGCAGCAACTGAGCTGGGTAATTAGACCAGAGGTTTCTACCCAGCTTGAGGTAGGGAGGGAAAGCTTCTAGGAGAAGTTGGCTCCCCACTAGACTATAAACTTTTTGAGGTCAGAGGCATTCTCTAATCTTTGCATCTCCAGCACCTAGCACAGTACCTGGCAAATATTAAGTGCCCCATAAATGTTTGCTAGATGAGACTTGAAATAAAGAATAATATAGGAGAAGTCTCTAGACCAGGGGTCAGCAAACTGCGGCTCACGAGCCACATGCAGTTCTTTGGGTACCTTCCGTCTCAAAAGTTTTCCAATCCCTGGAAGAGCCAATCCTGTCCCTCACAACAATTTAAAAATTATTCGAGGGCCGGCCGAGTGGCGCGATGGTTAAGAGCTGGCTTGGGATGCCAGAGGGCCCGGGTTCGGATCCCACATATGAGGGCCAGTGACACTGCCCTTCACAGCTAAGATGCTGAACAACAGCTCAACCTGGAGGGGGGCTGCCGTGAGTCACCAGCGATGGTGTAAGCTGACGCCACTGCTGCAGTGGGTTGCCATGGGCTACCGTGTGTAGCCAGCAGCCAGCGTGAGCGGCCGTCCAGAAGCTGGCGACTGATCTGCCTCCCCCGGGAAGAGCATAATGATGGTGCCAACTTGGGCCAGTGAAGCAACGTCCTCCACAACTAGACAGAAGAACAAAAAATGACAGCAACTTATCTGTTCCCCTTCCCCCAATTCCCCAGTGCTGTTCCCATCCCCCAATTCCCCAATAAAAATCTTTAAAAAAAACAACAACATCAAAAACAAAACTGAAAGATAGGTATTTTTCTGCCCAATTTATAGACCAGGAAAATGAAGATTAGCAAGATCACAAAAATTACCCCAGGTCCTGGCTAGGCAGTGGTAGAAGCAAGATTTGACTCCACAGCTGCTAAATGAATTTGGTATGCCAATCCTTGAGAAGATGATTGAAAGGTGACTAGATTATCTGCAGCCAGAAATGGGGTCAGGTGACGGAAAGCGAGGTGTGGGTCAAGATGAAGGTGGCAGGCACTCCAGGCTGAAGACTGCATGAGCACAGCTGTGGAGAGTCAGGGCAGTGACACACACCGTCCCCCAGACACTTATAATACCTGCGACTTGGCATAAAGTTAAGGGAGTTCATGCTTTGTGAAGCCAATGTCACCTGCTGAGAGTAAGGGGAGATGGTAGGATTGGAGATTTGGGAGACATAACATGCACTCAGTAAATATTTATAATTGGGGAACAATACAGGAAGCTGACTTGTGAAACATAGTGAGACTGCAAGGTTGCACTGGACATGACCTCTGTGGTCTATGGCTACCTCACAGTGTCTCTAATGTTCATGTCCTCCTATGAGAGTTGAAGGACGAAGATGCATGTGTAAAAGATGGCAGAGGAGAAATGGTGGCAGGAAGGGCTGTTCCCCATTAGTTTTCCGTGTTTAATAGTCTGGGTCATAGAACCTTAGAGCAGGAAGAGGTCCTAGGGATCATTTAGTAAATCCGTCTCATTTCGCAGGGGAGGGAACCGAGAACAGAGAGGTTAAGTGACTTGCCAACGATCAAAAAGATGGTCTCTAGCAGAGTTGGTCTTTTACTTTGCAGATCAGTACACTTTTTAGGAAACTGAGATGAGGTGCTAGAGCCAACATTTGCAGGAGCAGGAGTGTTGAAGAGTTGGAGGGATGCTGAAAGGGGAGGGTGGCCGTGGAAGAAGGGACAGACAAATAGGACTGGAGCGAGTCCTGCATCCACCCTTATGTAGCCCTCGCTGGCAAGTAACTTAACCTTTAGGATCCTCAGATTCTGTATTTGTAAATTGAGAGCAAACATACCTGCACATCTGTTGTATTAGAGATAATGGGCGTCAAGTCCCTGGTGCATAATCCATCTTCAATGGTAAGGAGAGCTTCGCATTTCCCAGGGGCTGTTTATAATCAAGTCTCAAAGCTCCCTATTCCAGTGACTAAAAGTGGTTGTAAAATGACATCAAATGGAACAAAGAGCAGCGCAGTTAACTCTTTGTTCTGAGGTTTTGTTAAGAGCTTGACAAGTGTACAGGGAGTTCCCAGGACGATGCTCGCCCACGAGAAAGTTTTTGTTGGTCCAGGCGCATGGATTCAGTCTCTCCGCTTAGCAACAGTATTTGCCTCCTGCATCAGAAAGGAAACAAAAAAGTAAGCCTGCAGTCAAATGCACCCACAAGGGCAAATCCCCCATGAAAGCCTGTCCAAAAAAAAAAAGACCAGTGGGGAAGAGGAGCTGCTGCTGTACGCCTCAGTGAACCCCAATGAGAAAGTCACAAAGGGAGGGGAGGGGCCGCTGGGTGGCTTGTCAGCGCTCGCTCAGAGAAGGATTTTCAGTCCTTCCCTCCTTCTGATTCCCGTTGCGCCATGACTTCCCTCATTGTCATTGTTCCTGGACTATTATAACTGCTTCCTAATTCATTTCCCTGTCTTTCATCTCTCCACCTACGAGGGATTCTACACTATTGCTGTCAAATGAAACAGCTGCCTTTTTCATTTCTTTTTTGAGGGGTAACTGTTGACTTTACATTGCCAGAGAAATCTTTCTAAAGCACAGGTGTGTTATTACTTCTCTACTTAAAATCTGTCAGTGTAGTTTGGGTTATACTCCCCTGCACACTGGCCTCTTGCGTGCCTGCCTATCTCCCCCATCACACTTCTGGAGGGCGGTAGCTGTGTCCCCAGCACTCAAGAGCCCCGGACCGCGTTATCGTGGTCCGGTCACATTAATCTTCATTCAATCCCTCAAAAGCTTTCCTTCACTGCTGAGTCTTCTCACATGTTTTCTTTGCCTAGAGCATTATCCCTTTGATGCTCCCTCTAGCAAATTCCTCATCCTCATTTTAACCATCTTTCCCTCGGGAAGCCTTCCCTGAACCCCAGTGAGGCCAGCACCTCTGCCTCCTCCCCATGTTGTCTGAGAAGTCCCTGGACTGATGCCCTTAATTACATTTCACTATCAGTAGGTACATTACATTATAAATAACCAAATAGCATTTGAAAAAAAATAAATCTTTTCTGTGCTGACTTTGCAGTGTAGAGTCTAGAGCAAAACATGACAACACGAAATAATGATACTATTTTGTCAAATCTTCTAAGAATTCCTTACAATGGATTTTGTTTTGATTCAGCATGATCAAATTTTTGATAAGTTTAGCAACTTCTATTTTTCCTCCTGCTTGAAATTTATGCTAAACGATACTAATTTTCTTAGTATTTCTTAAATACTGTAGGATTAAATTAATTTTATTTTGGAGAAAGGTGCTGCATAGTCAGCATTGGGAATTCTCAGAAATTAATTGATATGGAATACACTTCAAGAAAACTTGCACACAGGTTGTCAGATATTCGATAATTCATCTTACACAAATCTGCAGGGGTCAAGTTTAATTTGTTAAAGATTTTATATCAGCAAAGTTTCATTAATGATAATTTAGGTGAATCACTTTAATTTTTCTTTGGCATTTTCTGTATGTAGGGGTATGTATTAAAAATTCATTTGAATTAATTGTGTTGAAAAAAGAAATACACTCAGCAAACTTGAAATCTTTTGTTTTGTTAGGTAGCTACATATCATTTACATAATAGAAAAGATAAACTCTAATACTCTCTCCCAAAAGAAAAGAAAGTTGCTAAATATTAGACAACAATAACATTGGTTTCAGGTTAATGATTCCAAGAAAATTTAAATATCATTAGATGGTTGAGAAATTTTGATCAAAGAAAATTAAACAAACAAAAACATTTTAATTCGTTTTTTTGACTAGAGACATTTACATGAACAGTGAAAAATCTCCCTTCTCTCAATTGAAAAGTCTTCTCTTTGGAGGCCACCATTGCATTGGGTTTTTTTTAATGTATTCTTGTAGAGATGTTTTATGCATAATTATTTATCTATGTCATTCCCCCCTAATTTACACACTAAAAATCATACCATTTTTTTCTCTCCAGCTGAGCCATCCTGCCACCTGTTGGCAGCTCAGCTGCAGCTCAGCTTGGGCGCAGCTCACTGGCCCATGTGGGAACCAAACCAGTGACCCTGTTTCTCAGAGCTTGCACTCTTAAGCAAGCTCTTAACCAACTGAACCATTCGGACTGCCCCAAATCATATTGTTTTTAAACCTAGAAAAATGTCTTGCAGATTATTCCCTAACAGTGCAACAAAAGTTTTTTCCCCTGTCTTTTATGTCTACACAGTACTGTACTGTGTATATATACTATATGTATATGGACTACGAATAACCTATG